CCACACACAAATACATATATATACGCAGTGTGTACAGTTAAAACAAGTTTGACTCACGTCACGGCCGAAGTCCGCATCCAATGGAGGGCCGCCATTAAGACAACTAAAGGAAAGAAAAAGATATGATACGATATCGAAATGTAGAATTGAAAGACGAAAACGGTACACTGTTTACGAAAACGTTACTACTCAACAAGTTTGCTTCTAAATGGGGCACTTAGTTATTTCGTGAGGGTTTTAACTAATATCCACATGGACCTATTTGACGTGTACCTCGTAGGGGTCTCCATGTTAGTAGAGATCTAGCCGGATTTAATAGATTATCGAAAAAAGTTACGTTAATGTATGCCGGATTTTTAAAGATCAAGAAATTTAATAAACACGGTTGCGATTTGCGTCTTATGGTTCTGTCGAACAACCAACAACCTGTGTAACTGTGATGAAGGAAATCGACCGTCGAACTTGGTGTGATGAGTTTGCAGATTTGAAGAAGGCTCTTAGAACAAGGGGCTTCAGAAAACCGTCGAGGACGTTTATAGCTAACAAGGTACACTACAAATAGGATGCCTTCTGAGTAAGGTCTAATTTTAGATTTTAAAGTCACAAAAATACGAGAGTAAAAGCCCTATAGCAGAAAGAATTTACTGGTTTTGCAAAAGCACTTAAACTCTCGAAAATTGTGGGATCAGTCCGTTCAAAGTAGTGGGTGGCAATTAACACTTGGAGTTCCAAGTAATCCCCCTCCTCCTCCCACCCCCTCCCCCTCCCCTACTGAGGACTATAACTACTAGGCTGATGCGCAGTTCTAAATATATCCAGCTGACGAACTCTTCAGCTTCGTCTAGCACTATTATTTTCAGCTGAGTTTTACGAGAATATCAGCATCTGCTGTTGAACGGAAATGATATATATGAATATTTAGATGCCATGACGGGCGAACTTCTTGAGGTATACGGAATCGTTGGATAACCGAGTCCTATGATTTGGTAGATGAATCGTTCTTTTCCGGTCATTCAAAAATCAATCTGTGCTAAAAGACTTAATTCATTCTTTCTTCACAACATTAGTGCGGGCAGTTGGGATGTAGTTAACCTTTTGAAATACTTATCAGATCTTAAGAATAGCTAAAGACAAGCGACTAGGAGAAGAATATAACTAACTCTCCGAAGAAAAGTTTCATTACTGTTCATTATAAGTAAGGGTTCAAACATAAGAATGCAAATTTAAGACTTTGAGCTAGGCTGAACGGCTTCCGTAAATACAGTATTGCACCTAAATCACACGATCAGGTAAACTAAGGAAACATTATTCCAATACAGAAAGGCCACGAAAGTCTTGAAAAAATTTCTTAATTACAATTATGTCATACACGGACACGTTGCTGACATACAGTGGACGCATCTTTCAGCAAAGTTCATTCGAACATAGTATCTTTTGGTTTGCGTAGTTAAAAGCCAACCGTTTTTGCACGGTACCTATACAGCTGGCGGCGAACTGGCAGAAGTAAAATCGAAACTAACTCCGAAGTTAACATTCTCCCAGCCACCTCCCACTCCCATCCAATGAACTAGAACTATTTCTAAGTAAATATTTTAAGATATCTGTTTTTCCGTACACGCACGCACATATATGACAAGCGCATAAACTTGCAAAAAATACTCACTCCAATATAGGTTGAAGGCAGTTGTTCTTAAAGTATTCCATGTGTTCCGTTTTGCTGTTAAACGGCCGACATTTTTCGACCATAATTACGCAGTCGACGGGACGTAGGGTCGCCACGTACTCTCGAACGGTCTTAAAGTAAGTGAGGCGACGCCTTTTGTTGTTGGAAAATCCCTTAGCAATGCCATTAGAGTTTGAGCCGAGGGAACTGGGCCTGCTCGCGAAGGAATTTGGTTGAGTGGGCGAGGATTCTGATGACTTGTTGCTGCTGGGTGTCAAGATATTTACGGATCTTGGAGCTTCCGATTGAGGAAAGAAGTCTGCCGGTGAATTAAGACTTTCCGGTAACTTGCAGTTTCCTTTGAGAGTATTGGAGTCAGACACCGTTGGCACAGAGGAAGATCCTGAGAGATCGCCGGATAAAAGCTGTTGAGCGGAAAGGGTTTCAAACACAGCCACTGGTGCATCAGGCCTGCTGGAGGGCGTAAATGGAGTAGACTGCTGTAGGGGAAACCCATTTTCCTCCCTTACTTCTAACAGCTCAGTGCACACAGGGGTGGGGCTGGCCCTAGAGGAAGAATCTACTGATTGTTGTGAAAGGCTAAATACATCGTGTCCACCTATATTGGAATCTAAAAAGGATAGGGGTTGGGGAAGCGCTGTGTCCGAGGACTGGGGCGTTGGGAATGGTTGGTCAGGTTTTATGAA